AAGGTACATTTTCAGCCATTTTTATTTTTATTTTGAGACAGGGTCTCTCTAAGTCCCTAAGTTGCCTAGAGTGGGATTAAGTTGCCTTGATTTTGGGATCCTCCTGCCTCCACCTCCCAGAGTGCTGGGATTACAGGCATGTGTCGCCACATGCAGCTTTTTTTTTTTTTTTTTTTTTTTTTTTTTTTTTTATGGAACCCAGGGCCTTGTGCATGCTAGACAAGCACTCAGCCCTGAGCTACATCCTCAAGCTTTCTGTGTTGTCAGATCTATAGGACTTTTTCTTGGTTAATATGCACTATTTGTTTATGTTTTGAAAGTTCTCGTGCAGAGCTCAAAGGTGTGAGATCAGAAATCAGAAGGTTAAAAAAAAAAGAAGAAAATGAGAAGGTCCAGGCATAACAATACTGTGGCTTGGACTGGAATGGTTGCAGCGGATGCATTTAAAGAGTGGAGAGATCCGTATATGCTTTGGAGGTTCACTTGCTGATTGAAGGGGGGAGGTGGTGAATAAAAGAGAAATAAGTGAAGATTCCTAGATTTTTGACAGAAGCAACTGGGAAGTGGGAGTTTGTTTTCTTGAGCTGAGGAATGTAAAGTCTCTAAAGGGTGACTGAGGATATTTTGGAGCATATTTTCCAGGCACCCTCACAGACATGTGATCCCTTTTAGCAGGGTCCTTAAATACAAGCTGACATATCCCTGGATTCCATGTGGTCCTGGATCTGTCCTGATCTGATGTGCCCGCCTGCTTTGTCAGAATGTTCTTTTAGTGTTTACAAAGTCTGCTTCTTGTTCTCTTCAGTGACTGTGTCCTGGGTACGAACGTGGGCTGGGTTTTCATTACCTGGTCCACGGAGTGCTTCAGAAGGGGCCTCTGGGCCCTGGAGAATCATGAACAGGAGGAGGTGCTCCCCGGGGCTCTGGGATTTATCAGATTGGACATCCCAGAGGGATGGTGCTGCCCAACTCTCCACCTCCTTGGTTTCAACACAGGGGTCATCAAAGGGGAACATAGCTCATGATGTGTGGCCCGGAACAGCCAGTTTTGGACCAGTCAATAAAAACAGTCAGTAAATTCTTTGTTGTTGTTGATGCAGTTACTGTGCAGAACAGTGCCCAGTGAAGCATCCAGTCTGCCTTGAACTCCACAAACAAGTTCAGAGAACACTCTCACTTGAAAACCAAAGCAGTATCAGAGGGAAGAAATACCCAAAGAAGCAGAAATGAAGGTCACTGTCTCTCCTCCCCACCCCACCCTTGTCCTCAGTACAATCAGTTCGAGGCCTATATTTTTGCTGTCTTAATGACCCACGATATCACTGACTTCCTGCCAAAAGCACACATACTGAGCTGTTTTTATAGAGCTACAACGGCCTGGGTGGAGCCTTTCTGCACACATACCCCCTCTGGATTCTTCTGGCAGCCAGCAGCAAACGCCAATGAGGGAAAAGGCTCCCTAGAGTTAGTAATCTGTGGTCTTGAAAAAGTTTCCCAGGACAAAACTAACTGCTTTTCTTGGTAAAGAAGTACTCTAGGCCTTTCAAAAACTACATTCTAGCTGATCCACAATTCAGTTGCATAATCAAAGGTCACACGTGTTTTGTCACCAAGAATATTTCCATTTGGCAAAGAAAATAGTGTGAGATTATGCTGTTCCCTCTTCCTGGAATTACTTATGTGCTGTGTCTTCAAGGAGGCCATTTGGCAATGGTCCCAAAGCCATGGCCTTTGACCAGTCACCTAGGGCCTCTACAGACTCCCAAAAGAGCTACAGAGAGGGACAGTCCTGGCCCACAAACACTGTTTACTGTGGTGTTTTCACAGACTCCACTGCTGGACTTGTCTGAATCATTTCAAAGGCAAAAACACACACAGACAAACCCCACAAAACTGGTGTCACCCAAGCCTAGGTAAAAGTGACTAAGTTGCAACCCTGAGTTTTCCACAGGTTTGAGGGTACAGGAGAGAGCCTGGAGTTTGTGTTACTCATCAACAGTTCTACTGCCCTGTTCCTACCTCATGAACTTTCCTCATCCTTTTGACCCTATTCAAATGCCTCCTCCTTTCTAAGGAAAGCCACATCCAAGGAAAAATGAGTTGTTCATTCGTCACCCTAAGTGGTTTGTATTTCTCTTCGATCACTTTACCCGCTGTTATGGTGGTAATCTGTTTACATAGGCCTCTTCCTCACCTGCCAGAGGTAGACTCTGTCTCATTTCTCTCTTTATCTTCAGTGCCTGGCTGAGTGCCCAGCATTAGGAGGTTTCACTGTTCTAAAAGCCAAGTTTTTTGGCACTGGGAACAAAGCACCTGGTTGTGCAGCTGGTGCACCACACAGGCCTGCCTGGCCAAGAGAGCAAGAGGGGCTGGTGTGGATGGGTGTGGGGTTGCCTTCGCCCAGAGAAAGGGCAGGCGGCCTTGCTGCTCACAGAGGCACGCGCCTGCAGCGCTGGGTCTGCTCCTAATTTGCACCAACGCAACACACAGCTTGCAGCCTTAGCATCTGGAAGAGCAGCTCAGACCCAGCAACCGTAAGAATGGCAGACTAAGTGGAGGGAGGTGAAGGGAGGGCAGAGGAATGGGGAAAAAACAAGAACCAAGACACATCATGTAAAGGTACAAGATCCCAATGGTAAATATAACTGTATTGTTTGCTTTAAATGTATCAATAAATTTAATGGGGAAAAAAAAAGAATGGCAGACCATGAGCTGGGCACGGTGACACATGCCTATAATCTCAGCCTGCTGAGGGGCTGAGGCAGGAGGACCCCAAGTTTGAGCGCAGTCCGGGCAACTTAGAAACTTAGCAAGAGCCTGTCTCAAAATAAAAATGAGCTGGGGATGTAGCTCAGTGTGAAGGCCCTGGGTTTAATCTCCAGTACTGCAAGTAAATAAATAGGCAGAATATGAAGAAAATGCAAAGTTGAAAGGAATACCCGCCTTGTAAAAAGTTTCCACTACTCATTGAATAATCAAGCCTTACAGCTAACTGATTTTAGGGAACTTATTGTCAATTATAAGTAAGAGGAACATGAACACATCATGTTTTTCCTAGTGCAATTACCCATAATAACCATTTTTTTTAAATACAGAATTATACAAATTTAGACCTAAAAGTCATCTATTGACTCCACAAACATTTTTTGAGCATTTCATACTGGTTATATGTTTACCGTGGAACAAGCACTAGAAATTGTAATAAAATCAGCCAATGTCAAATATCAAATACCTATTTAGTGGCAGGTTTTTTAGTCGCTGAAATAGTGCCTACTACACAACCAGTATTCTATCAAAAGCAAGAGATAGCCAGGCATCGTGGCACCTGCCTGAAATCCCAGCATCTGGGAAGCTGAAGCAGGAGGATCACAAGTTTGATCCTTGCCTGGGAAACTTAGTGACTTAGTAATAGCCTATAAAAGAGAGAGAGAGAGAGAGAGAGAGAGAGAGAGAGAGAGAGAGAGAGAGAGAGAGAGAGAGAGAGGGGGGGGGGGAG